TCGCTCTAAAGGGATGTTGTAACCACTTGCTTCATCCAGGGCAATTTCTTCATTAATCTAAAAGCATAAGCAATGCATTCAATGTGCAGAGACCATCATCATTTTAACAGGAATTGAGTTTTATTGGCAGCTTACAAGAAATCATTGATCAACAATGTACCTATTCTAACAATGCTTATGAAATTTAACAACGATTCTGCTGTTCAAAAGTTTCAAATAGAAGCTTAGCTAGATTAACTTGCAATGAAAGAGGTTGAGCAATGAAAATGAGGGATGTGCACAATATCTTTGGGAAGGGTATTATTGTATTGCTCGAGGAGCAAGGAGACCACAAACCCATTTGGAAACAAAGAGAAGAATTTTAAAATCTTGCCTGGCTCATGTATCTTTCATTCCTTGTTTAGACAGTGCTCTTCTGCAGGGCTAAAGGCACACTAAAAATTACCGCAAAACATTGCAAATCAGACCTGTTTCAGAATTCGCTGGGTAAGCAGCTCTTCATTTTCTTCATCACTGTCCATCTCAGCATATGTCCAGTCATCCACAGCTATGATGACAGAAGTAGAAACCATCCATGAGTTTGCAATCTATTTATTATGGTCTTTTATCAGTGACTTTATGTATTTGCAGAAATGTACATTGGCAGTCTTGGTACCACATTCATTAACCCAGAACAGCCTCAATGCTGGATCACTCAACAATGTTCAACTCACTACTGACAAAATTTCACTATTCAGTGAATGCCTATTTTACCACAGCTTTTGTACAATGAATTAAGACATGGTGCACAAGAATCATAGGAATTATGGTTTTAAATTTCTGCTTCTCTGCTGCATCCCTATGGCAACATCCTGATGAATCAGAATGAAAATTGACAGGTAACTGTTCTTGATGTATCTCCATGCCAACGATGTCCTGACCAATCAGCATCCTCTTCTCATACTGCATAAAACGATGCTCCTTTCTCAAGTTGATTCTTGCATCCTTGCTCTGATAAATGCCACATGAAAAGTTTCAACTTCTTGCCTCCTTTGAGCAAAGTTTGTTTCTTACAATGAAGCAATTATTTGTAGGCCCCAATACAAATATGAACACCTGCAAAAAAATGAGCTCAGGCCAGCTAATGGTGGTATATTGCATTCAAGTTCACTATCTACAATCTTCCTTACCAAGTGATGATGACTAGAAAGACATCTCCCCAAGCACAGTATCATTAAGCCTACATCTGGGTAGTAGCTGCTATGCACACGACATTCTTGCAATCTTGAAGGCCAAGTTCAGGGCTTGTTGGGCCTGGCCACAGCAGGCCGACAGCCTCATCAATGAGTATTTCACACCATTCTCAGTACCTGGAGGAAGGTGCATCCTTACCTATGCCATGCTCCTCCTTACCCTATGGTAAAGGAGAGTGTTTCCACAATAAGCTGAATTACATGTGTAGTGTAAGCAGAGCAGAATAAGTGATATTTAATTCCCTGAAGCAGTCAGGGGAAAATTTTGTCAGCCTCTCACGGGAGATACCACTGCAGTCCACCAGCTGACCATGAAAGGCAAAGACCCAACACCTAATGGGAAAGGTCAATCCCCTTCACCTACAGATTGAACAAATACCAGAATGCATCATAAACCCCATACAAACTGTCATAAATTACTATATATTAACATGTACAATAGCTTCAGATATTGGATAATTGAATGTGCTTTCATTTAGAAACTCACCACAAATTGAAAAATACATTGATATTGTAGCTCCTTACATGTCTTTGTGACTTGAGCTTTGTAGTAAACCCAAGGTTTAATTCCCAGTTGTTGCTGGATTGGTTGAACTCATGCAGGATAGGGCAATGGGCAAACAGCACCTACGTTCTACCAGATGACCCAATGGAAAGTGCACAGCATAACAACAGAATGACCTGTCAACACAATGTCTAAACTCACACAAGTTTATAGCCTCTTGGATACAGTGGAGAATTGAACAATAAGGGGAGTGGAAATACTTTGTTCCTGCACCTCCACATTTCACTGTGCTTCACTGTCAATGGATTAAAAAAATTTGATTCCTCAGCCTTTCAAATACTTTAGTGGGAACACCATCACCATAAGCATTGCAGCAATCCGAAGAGAAAGTTTGCCCTCATAGGCTCAGGGAGACATAAGCAGCATTGCCAGCAGCAATCACATACAAAGAGTAATATTTTATTTTTAAGAATCTAGAGAAATGTTCATCCAAACCGATCTGCACTCACCACTTGGGTCTTCTCCTTTCAGTGTGGCCAGTCTCCTGGATATCTTCGAGACTTGTTCCTTGTGCAAATTGTCCTGCTTCAGCTCTGCTGTCACCTGGTCGAGCAGATTACTCTTCTCATCAAAAAGTTTGCTGTTATCGTTGGTAATGTTGAAATTACGTGGATCGATTCCTTTATTCAAGTCATTCATCGCATTATCTATATCCAACACACAAAGACTGTTTAGAGATATTGGGGGAAGTGAGTTAGCCCATGTAGAACCTGTGCCTTTCAGCCAACACACCTGTCACACAAGGTTCGAAAATGTGTGCACACTTCTGGTGCAACAGCCATTAAAATCAAAGGTATGATCCTCACTGAACACTCAGATATGTGTTCTTTTCAGGAGTTTAATAGCTCACAATCAGGATTTAACGAAAGTGACTTTCTTTTGCCTTGCAGGGCCATAGTTGGTGTGCAGTTGCAACATCCCACAACAACTCTAAGCTGGTTCAACGCAGGGCATTTGAATTATTGTACAACTCAATGAGAAAGCTGGTGGCCAAAGATAATTAAGGCATGTTTCATGCTTTGTTTTTGAGCCACTAACGCAGTCCAGACATTCAATTTTCATGATGGCGAGTGACACAGACAAGCTTCACATTGTCTGAGCAAGATATTACAAGAATAGAATGATATATGTGGAGTTTTTCTCACTGAAGTCAAGGTACTAAACCCCAAATCACTGTACTTTGATATGATAGTAATTGTGCAACCAACTGTGAACCCAATGCCAAGGTCTGCTGAAATCAAACACGTTAGTGAAACTTGGTGCCAATACATCAGTGCACTTGTCCACAGGAAAAAAGAGGCAGAAACAGTTTACAGGGGCAACAGTTCAATTAACATGATAGGTCCTAATGTATTAGCAGCATCCTTTGATTTTTCTCCATGATTACATAAACATTTTGATTCCCAGCGGCATCCTCCCTGAACATTTACAAAATGACAAAGGAATCTAAGCACAGAGGTCCAGTTGTGGCAACATCCAACTTTTTACAGGACAAGCTCTCAGTTACAAGGAATGGTTAGGAACAATGTACCTGAACCTTATGTCAATAGGTCTCTCCTTATCACACCACAGTAGATTGGGAAATAATCATAAACACATGCAGGCAATGTGTTCCCATTCTTTGTTCATATTGCCTGTGCGACATTTTACGTGTCTTGTTTCACAATGGCAAATTAAGAGGGTTACAGGAAATCAAAAGTTTCCCAACCTGAAAATATACTGCCTAAAAATTGAGCTGTACAATCCAGAAGAGACGCAAGCTTTATTTCCAAGTTTGCGCCAGTTAACTGATAAAAGAAAAAAAGCAATGAATAGGGTGCTGCAACCGGGCATAATAATTCCTGTGGTAAGGATAATAACAAGAATAAATAATTAGGGGTCCAGCTTCTAACAGCTATCCAACAGACAGAAAATCACATGACAATGTCAACAGTGATGACTGCTTCTCATTGGTGAAAAATGGTTGCCATTAATTATGAATAATGACCATTTAGGTACTAGTGACTGCTAGCACCTATGACACTGCTATTAAGAATGCTAACACATTCACATGAAATAACTGATGAAAAATAATGTCTGCAGGGAGAATTAAAATGGGATGGTGCATGCAACAGCATGGACCATTGGGAAAGAGGTTTACTCACCAGAGGGTGGGATGTAAAACTCCACTGTTGCAATCAGGAAAACTAGGCTCAGTTTTTCCTTGCATTCAACAAGAATAAACTGGCTCTTTCTATGTGCTTCTCTTGATTTCAGACAGGAAGCTAGCAATCTGCCTTGGCTATATTTTCAAGCAGAGAATATTAAGATCAACAAAAGAGAAAATAAAGAATTTTTTAAAAAAAGTTGTGTGGAGAAAGGATTCTTGAAAAGAATTAGTGAAAGATGAGAGAGTACCTGCACAGCAAGAAGCCATTCAGTCCAACAAGTCTGTGAACCTCCTCCCACATACTTCAGCCGGAGTTTTCATTCTTTTCTCCCTCATTCATAACATCTCGCTGCCTATTAAATACATTGAGGTCAAATACCCCTGTGGCAGCATATTTGACAATCCTGAGTATTCCCTGGCTGAAGAACTTTTATCAGTGGCCATTTCATTGACAGTCTCAAACTTTTGGAATTCAAGAAACCCAAAAGAAAGGCACATGAAAAGAGTGAACAAAAGATTTTTCATACAACTTGCCTTTAAGACCAGGGTTGTACTTTTGGTCTATGGCTGCTTCTTCTGATATTTGTTTGAAGAGGTCATTGGCTTGTTCCGTTTGAGTCCTAGTATCAGGAGTCTGATAACTCTACAACAGTTAAAAAGAAACAGACTTCAGCTAAACTTCCAACAGGAATTTGCAGATGGCTAAACAACTGAATTTGGGATATGGTACGTTATGCTTTCATCACTGTGAAATTGGTCTATATTTAGACTGCCAGGATGGAAGCTTCGTTATGAGTTATGACTGATGGATTTTATGTAAAAATGAACAAACATTCTTAATACAGTCCTTGATGTACAACTGGTCAACTCAACGTTAACTTGATAATCTGGATGGGTAAATGAATAGAAAGTGTTTAGAGGGATATGGGCCAAATGCTGGCAAATGGAACTGGATTAATTTAGGATTTCTAGTCAGCATGGGTGAGTTGGACCGAAGGGTTTGTTTGCATGACTCTAACCCCAGGAGAGTCCATGGGATTCTTGGAACAGGAAATGGGTAAATACTACAGAAGTTCAGGAGCTATGTCTGACCAATCAGTGTGACACTTCAGCACAAAAGATTGCTAACAACAGAGGTGAACAGATGAACATCATACCAAGAGGTTTAACAGAGAATCCCTAAGCTTCAATAAAAGGCAAAATGTTGTAGTTTTCCAGCATCTGAGGGAAAGAAAACACTGAAAATGCTGGAGAAACTCAGCATCTCAATTTCAACTTCTGTTTATCTCTCCACAGATGCTGCCAGACCTGCTGCATTCCTCCAGTATTTTCTGTGTTTATCTCTCTAAGCTTTCACACAGGAAGCAAGGTTATATTTAAAAGTAGACAGGATCTGGAATTTTGCCACCAGTAAGAAGTTCTGACACCTAAAGCATTTGGCCTTGGGTTAAACTCCTAATACACTTAGCAGGACAAAAGTTGTCACCTACAACATTAATCAAAATTAAGAAACCATTTTGCCTCAATTACTCAGCAAATTTAACAATTTAGGAAACTAAGTAATGTGATTTTTTAAGAAGCTGAGAGAAATTCATTTTTCCGAACTAATCTTTACAACATTGAAGCAAAAACATCAACAATTCAAAGCTTGCACTGCATCTTTCGCTACTCCAATAGATAAAACTTCAGTAAAAAAATCAAAGGCAACAGCATTTATGGAAATTTCAAAACGTTGACATAACTATACCACTGTTTCCATTTGGTCTCCAGCAAAATTCATTCCAGACTCAAGGCAATTCCTGTTCGTAACTTGTATTTTTAGAATGGTATTTTTAGAAGAAAGGACTAGGCCCTTACAGGTCTGGGGGCTTTTGGAGGTGGTGGCTGACCCTTTAACAGGGCTAGCTTGCCCTCTATCTCTGCTGTGGAGGGTATAGGTTGCAGAGGGTCCTTCTTTAATGCAGCCAGTCGCGATTCAATCTCCTGCTGAGAAGCTATAGATTCTGCAACAAAAAGGAAAACATTATGGAATGGAAAGCAACGTGTAACCAGGCAGTGATCCAATTCAGTCCCTACCCAAGGGTTGCAAAATATTTGGCATTCCGGTGGAGACAAGTCTGAATGGATCACCTGTAAATTTTCACGTTGTGATAATATTCAGTTTTGTTTCTCCAGATGATATTCTTGAATTTTGTAAATGTCGCAACGAAGAGGAATATTTTTCCAGACACTGTCAATGAAGTGTTCCAGCTCAAGGGCTGTTTCAATTTGAATGGAGGCAATTTCAGGATGATTTGTAAATGTTACAACAGTAACAACATTTTAAAATATTTCACTGTCTGTGCCAGTAGTTTGAAATGATGAGACACATCTTCATTGCTTACCAAAAGCATCAAACAAGCTCGACATCAAGATCTCTCCATGTGGAAGTTACAGCAGGCAACTTCAGTTTGCCGCTGGCCAAGGTCAATTTTCTCCAACAGACTGTAAAATTCTCCCCTTTCGAAAGTAATTTTGAAATTATTGAGGTTGCTTCCACCTTCCATTCAAACATTATAAACCAGGTTGCAACAACTTCTCCAGACAAAAATAAAGTCTCAACTTTCCACTAATTCTTCAGGAAATTACTTTACGTCTGTTTTGTCTGTTAACCCAGCTTTTTACCTGAAGTGTTTTGTATTCGTCCAGACTATTAATTGCTTATCCCGCATGTTGGATACTATGATAGCTTCCTGGCAAACAGCAGGTAATCAACATCACTGATATGCAACGTAAAGGGCACAAATTGCATCCCTACACAGGTTTTGACAAATTATCACTGGAGAAAGTGCAAATGCAAGACTCCAATGGGCCCAATACAGACTGGGGACACAGTGAAAGCAGAAATCAGGGACCATGATACTCATGACGCTCATGTTTTGGGTACATCACCTCTCCCTGCCATATCTAATGCTTTAAAACAAGAAAAATGGCTTGTATCATAAACCACATTGCCTATTGGGCCAGAGACAATGAGCTACTCTGAAGATTAATCACTGATGCTACGGAATGCAAAATACTGGCTGTTCCCAGAAAAATTCCACAAACAGCAAGGATAAATGACAAGTGTTGTAGGTTAAGTAATCTTTGTTAACCCATCAGTCCTTAAAGTGACATGGGCAGACTAGACAGTAACGTGCATCCTCACCAATCCACAGGGAACAAGTTGCATCATTTTGCAATCAGCTACAAAATCACCTTTACCAATATAAATTAAAAGTGACTGGCCACATTTCATTAATAAACAGTAAATAGTAAAAATACAGATTTCAAGATTTGAGCCCCAATCTAAAGAAAGATAAACAAAGTCATCATAATACTATGAGATTATTGGGCAGCTCTCCCTGTTAGAGAGAGGTGACTGGTGGTGGTTTAACCCGAGGGTCATCATTACTCAGAGGCTGAGAAGGAGAGTCCTTCAGTCTTCAGCCGGTGCAGGAATTCAACCCATGCTGTTGCTGTTATTCTGCATCATACACCAGCCATCCAGCTGACTAACCAGTTAACTCAGAATTGAGGAAACGAATGTTGACCACAACACACTCAAAAACCCTCATATTTTAAACAGGGCAAAATATAATAATATATGTAACAATCTGTAACACCTCAGGCAATGCAATTTTCTTTCAGCAGTACACGTTGGCCTAAACCATATATTTAAACCCTAATGTGGAACTTGTAATCTTTAGACCCAGGCACAAGTACATTCCAGGCTCAACCAGAAATTCTATAAAAGAGAGAGGTTTCCACTGTATGCAATAAAATTGTTCTGATTAAAAATAATAACTCACTCAATTTGGTTCCTTCCTTCAACTTCTCCAGTCGTTCAGCAATGGCTCGGTCCTCTTTTGACAGTCCCAGATACTTCATACTTGGTGCCTGACTACCTGCTTTGTTGTCTGAAGTTTGTTCTTGCTGTTTAGCCTCCAGAGCAGCCACTCGCCTACATCAGAAACCCAGAAGAAAGCTTTACGGGGGCTATATCAGTATGAGTGATTGCACTGGGGAAGCACATCAATAGCCATTTCCAATTATATATTCCTGCATTTTCAAAATGTGAGTTTCCTTTGTGGAAGCTGTTAACAGTCGGTCTGAGTGCGCACGTGCGTATACACACACACACACACACACAGCTTGTGGACTGCAATTGTCCACAGAGTGGAAGATGCTCATGTTAAGAAATGCTTGCGTTCTCTCTGAAATATATTTTTACAATTATTTGTATTTATGTAACCCACAGTTATTTGTCTTTGGGCAGTATTATTGACATTATACACATTAAATCAAGTATTTCCACTGCAACTGTATCTAGGCACCTCAGGGCAAATGGTTTTGTAAGGAGACAAGGTGAATTTTGTCGCAGTGTCTGCAATTTAGGGTGGCACGGTTGCTCAGTGGTTAGCATCAAACTCCAGGGATCTGTAATCAATTCCAGCCTCAGGCAACTGTCAGTGTGGGTTTGCATATTCTACCTGTGTCTGCATGGTTTACATCTGGGTGCTCTGGTTTCCTCCCACAAAGATGTGCAGGTTAGGTGGATTGGCCATGCTAAATTGCCTATTATGTCCAGGGATGTGTAGGTTAGGTGGATTAACTGTGGGAAATGCAGGGTTACAGGGAGAGAGTGGTGGGATAAGTCTGGGTGGGATGCTCTTCGGAGAGTTGGTGTGGACTTGTTGGGCCAAATGGCCTGTTTCCATACTGTAAGAGTTCTTTGAATTTGTAACCTATTCTCAAAATAATCAAAAAAGTGGATGTGAGACCAGCACTGGGTATGCTCATCTCCTTCTGCTCATACCTCAGGGGCAACATCGCAAGTGATTGGACAAAACTGCTCTGTTTCTCCAAAGACACTGTTCGAAGAATGAAACAATTGTGAAACCGGAGAGATTCACAGAATTTAATGTTTTCCTGAAGTGGCGCAGGGCGGCATTACTTTAAACACAAGAGAGCGAGAGACAGAAAGAGTGAGAGACACACAAAGAGAAAGAAATAGAGACAGACAGAAAGAGAAAGACAGAAAAAAGAAAGAAAGAGCACGACAGAGTGCGAGAGTCACTCTGAACCTTTCATCATTACTTTTTCATTCATTGATTCATTAAAACTTCCCTCCAGGACAAAGTATGTCCCATTGTAGGCAGTGATACGTGTGCGCGCACACACACACAGACACACACACACACAGTGAAACAAAGAGATACACAAAGAGACACAAATCAACATGACCATCAGCATTGTATCACTTTAAACACAAGAGGGACAGTCAGATACAGGGGGGATGGGGCTGTAAACCCCACATCAACGGATTCACTCCCGAAACAACAGAGAGCCCATTGCAGAGATACAGACACAGGGATACAAACAAATATAGAAAATAACAAACTAGAACACCAAAGGCAATTCGATTTTTAATGAAAGAAATTCATTACATAGAAATTCTACACGTTATACTAAGCGGGAAGGGATGGGATGTATATTCTGTTGCACTCAGGAAAACACTCAAAATTTCAGCATTGTCAGCATTCCAACCCTCATCCATTTCCACTGAAAAATCTTTAGCAGGGATTTATATTAAAAAGGGGGTTAACAGGAGGTACAGATCAGCCAGAAGACAAGTAAGTAGTGAATATGTATTCAATCAGCAAACTATTCAGTTTTCCCTTCAGATGTTCATAATTTCCTTTCTCTCAAGGTTGTCCAGTTCAAGTTCTATAATGGAAGTGGTAGCCCTTATAACTAGACAGTAACAAATACAATTTGACAATGTAGAATTGTTATCCGACTACTCACTTTTTGTAGTTCTCTGGTGGAGACCACTTTGCAGCATTGTCCTGTTTCCCAGACCTGTGAAAGAATGAACAAATATTTTCTTCAAAGATTCTACTTTCTTGCTGTTCCATTTTTATATCGTCACATTTTATGTACTATTGCTAAGTCTGAAGGATGGACTCAGAGAAAGCTAACCTTCTCTTCCTGCTAAGAAATATCTCCCCTTCATGAAGACACGATCAGAACTCAGAACAGTCGGACACACTAGGGCTAAATATATTGAAGAATCAACCAGAAACATAGGTAGGCTGACAGTAACAAGTACCAACACAACTCAGCTATAGCATTATTACTGTACTAGAGCATTCATTCACAATAATTGCTACGCTGCTGCAACGTAAAATCCACCACATATCATTCATCTGCCACTGTAAAGATAATTGGGTGACAGAGATGAAATTGCATCTAAAGTTTGAGAAGATTTGTAGTTCAGGTTGTGGATGAGGCTGTAGACATGCTCACCGAGCTGGTGGGTTTGGTTGCAAACATTTCATCATCCTGCTAGGTAACATCATCAGCACGCCTCCGGTGAAGCATTGGTGTCCTGTCCCGTTGTTATTTATACGCCTCAGTTTGCTGGGGTGGTTGGTGTTGCTTTTGGTTTTTGTTTCTCAGTGGTTCGTACACAGAGTCTAATTCAATATTTGTTGATGGAGTTCAGGTTGGAATACAAGGTCTCCAGGGAGTTCCCCAGTGTGTCTCTATTTGGCTTGTGCTTTATCGGCTGTGTTGTCCCAGTTGAATTGGTGTCCCTCATTGTCCGTGTGCAGTGAGACAAGTGAGAATCAGTTGTATCTCTCGGTGGGCACCAACATCAAGGAGGACACCAACATCAAGGAGGACACCAACATCA